CAAAAAAATCTGATTGACTGATGGCCGTTGATATATGATTGGCCGAATTTAGGTTTTCATGCTGACGTATAACTAACTGGCCTGCATAAGATAACGGGGAAAAAAACAGATTGTAAGACAGGATTTATAAAAAAAAAAATAGAAATTTTCTAAATTTTGGGACAATGTGGTCTGATAAAGAGTAGATTTATATAGATGTTTAAGCCAGAATGATTTGACATTTAAATATGATTTCCTTACAACTTTAATATATACAGGTATGTTTTCTTTATCATTATTAAAAAACTTTCTGCTAAGATTAAAAAACATGAAAGATTTTTTCAGTTGGGCACCTTGTATTTATAGTAGTTTATGTTTAGAACAATGAAGAATGCTTGATATGCAACATTCATTAAAAATGTATTTTTAAAACAAAATGAACTCAAATGAACCAAATATTATCACTATCTTTTTCTTATCATCTTCTAAAGTAAATATGAGGAGGATGAATTACATGTCATGGATGTGAGCAGCACACGGTAAGGGGATGAAACATAAGCATGGTACTCAAGAGGCCACACAGGGCTTGTTTTATTTAAGGTTGATTTATTTTTCACAGATAGGTTTCCTAAAAATGTTTGGATGGAATTTGTCAGTTTGTTTAAGTTTGTTAAACTCTAACTGGGATCAACAGAAATAGGTATTACGTTTAGAACAGATAATAAATCAGTGAGGAATTCTTTTCATTCTTTGCAGGACGAAACAGGGAGATCTGTTTCCGAAGAATGGGAATACTTTAGGTGTTAATTTATTGGTGCTTTCAGTAGACCTCTGCTGGGTATTAAATGTCTCTCTATTTATCTTTTTTCATTTCGCATTTGTTCCTGAATATCCTGTGCTTGTAACGTCCCAAGTTACCCATAAAACCTTCCAGAAAAGTCCTGAAAAACTCTACAAACCTTGAAGGAAAAAAAAGAAAAAGCATGGCAGCTGTATTTATGACCTCCTATGTGTTTTAATGTAACAAAAACAAGCTCTAGGATTGTGACGAAAGCTGTTAATAACCTAAGCATCGTCCTCCCAGGCGGTGGAAGTGAGGAGGGCTGTGAAATGACCAACGATTTCTGACCTCTGATTGCTTCTCCAGGGCCTCGGCTCTCTCCCTGTGCAGGAGGCTCAGTTCTGCTTCGAGCTTCTGGCAGAGATATTGCAGCTGAACGTGGGAGCTTTCAAAGGCTTGTTTTTCAGCGAGCAAGTTCATCATCTCCTTTTGTGCCCGTGCTGCGTCCTCCCTGGCTGCTGCTCGCTTCCCTTCAGCTTCACATCTACGTTCACTGAGCTCCGTTTTCTCACCTTCTGTCTGAAAGAGAAACAGACATGTTTATTTTAGTGTACTCTGCTACTCATGGATACTTTTGAAAATCCACAGATTCTGACCTGAAGTACAATGCGGTTGAGCTCCACTTTGTCTTTGGCTAAACCTTCACTAAGGGCAGCCATTTTAATGAGGGAATCTCTCAGGGTAGCATGCTGACTCTGCAGTTTGATGAGAAGACTGTCCCGTGCAGCGCTATGACGCTCCATCTGTGGAGTTGATCATTACAATCCTGTCAACTACCAACACATATATCTCTGGTAGAGAGTTGGATTCACACTGGCACAACATTTTACCTTATCTAGAGCCAAAGAAAGGCTAGCTTTGTCATCCTCCAGCATCTCTTTCTGCAGAGTGATTTGATCCAGAGATTCCTTCACTGTTATAAGTTCCCTCCGCAGATCAGAGTACTTTCGTCCAAGTTCCTGTAAATCCTTTTCTCTAAAATGTAAAACATACCACATGTGTAAACACTGTTTCTTTGTCTCGCATCATCGTCTTCTTTCAGCTGCTGCATTCAGGGATCTCCCAGCGGATCATCCATCCCCATCTCATTCATCATTAAATGTTCGCCTCTGTCACACCAAACTTCTGTCTGTCCTTTTTTATGTCCACCTCTCTGTGTTTTCCTCTTTTATCCTTGCTGTTCCATATTTCGCCTCCTTTATCTCATATATCTACCAGGGATGTGTGTTATTGATTACTGAATTATTCTAAAGTTGATTAATCTTATTGATCAACTAAATGTTTTGATCAACTAGGGGGAGTGGCGGCCTAGTGGTTAGGGCATTGCACTTGGATTCCAGAGGTTCTGAGTTTAAGCCCCACTCTCACAGACTGCCACTCTGGGTCCCTGAGCAAGACCCCTAACCCACACACTGCTCCCCGGGCGCCGCACAATGGCAGCCCACTGCTCCCGAAGGGGATGGGTTAAATGCAGAGAGTGAATTTCGTTGCTTTGTACTTCTGATAATTGTATTGACAATGAAGTTTAATTCTATTCTATTCTATCCTTTCCATTCTAACTAAGAGTTTTCTCTTGTATCAACACTGTCTTTCCATGACATAAAGGGTGTTATCATTTTATAAAAAAATAAAAAAGAAGCATATTATTATATTTAACAATTCAATACATTGACTGTATTAAATGCTGAATTCATAAACATAATAGATTCCCTTTGTGTCAATGAAGTGGGCGATAACTGGGATTTATGGCGCTTTCTGTTTGCCTTCGAATATCAAAATTTCCAACTTTGGTTTGAAAATTTAAAGGGGATCACCCTTGAATGTCCAAATTACAAGTTAGAAAGATGGTGTGACAGGAAGTTCCCGACTATCTCACCAAGATGGTTGTTATTCTCATCAATAGAAGTGAAAATGTCTTGCTTTGACCATTTGCAGCCATTCATTATTTTGTATATAGCAATAGATCAGTGGCTATTACCTACTTTTAAGTGTTTATAAGACAATATGTGTCGACTATGGATTTCCTGATATAAAATGTTCTATACAATTCTGATTGTATTGTATTGTATGTAGTTTTGCCTGAAACCAGCCTGATAGACTATCAGCATGAATCCTACACGTTACATGTTACTTCTTTAACAGAGTGGAATGTTAAAAAAGCCTGGTCTAGTAATATTAATCAGAGAACCTACTATCTTTCCTAAATACATGGTCAACTCATTGTGGCCATCTTTTTTCTTCACTGTTTGTTGGGATCCTCAAACACACTATGCGACTCCATGAGCACTTCCTACAGTATGTTTTTAAACTAGCTTCAACAACTCTCTTTATTTTCCTCATGGTATCCTGTCAGCTTTATCCCTCTGCACTTACCATAGCTCTGCACATTACCATCATTATAAAAATCCGGATGCCCTCTGGCTTAGGCATCTTAATACCTTAATTGATAGGTTATCCAGAGATTTCTGCACTTTTGTCGTTTTCAGAACTTTTCTTGCTTTGTCTTTACTAATTCTATCTGCTTTATTTTTCACTAGGTTTTCTCAATCTGTCCTCATTTTCCTTCATTTATCAGTCTCTGAATGCACTCCTCCCATCTTCTCAACACTTTCCTCACCTCTTAATACATTTCTATCACCATCCTTAATCAATCTAACCTGCTGCATGTCATTTCCAGCTCAGTCTCTCATCCTAACATATTGACACCAATCTTCTCCTCCTTCCTTTGTTTACAGCCTCCCAAAATCCCAAAACCCTTACATAGTTCAACCTGAAAAAATGAGAAATGTGAAACTCTTGATTTTATTTTGCTTGATTACATGTCTTTAGACAACCTAAAATGTTTAAAGTAATCACAAAAATGAGAGATAAAGTACTTTTTAAGGGAAGTCTTTTTGTTTAACATCATGTCTATTTGACATGTGTTAGTGATCTATGTTTTAAAAACATGGTCCTTCAAATCGATTGGGCTTGACAGGATGTTTGTTATGCAACGGTCACTGTTTGAACTCAAATGTACCCTCTGCTGGCTTCCGTGTGCTGGCGTGACAGCTGCACTTCCAAGCCCTCCTTCTGCTGCCTCAGGAGGTCTCGCTGTCTCTGGAGGTCCAGTGACGAACTTCTCAGTACATCCAGCTCAGCTCGCTGGGAGTCCACCTCCTGCTGGAGCCCAGACAGCAGCTTCTCCAGGCTCCCTTTCTCACTATGGGACATACAGGAAGAAGGAGGCAGAGGAAAACAAAGGAATGAAGTAATTCAGGGTCAACGAGAACAAGACTAGGATAGACTAAGGTTTCACAGTGCTGTATAATGACATTTTTAACTGGGATTCTTGCACATACCCATGTTTTTATATAGGAAAACAAAAGGTTTACTTAGAGATGAGCTCCAGCGTGCAGCGACTTCTGCTGTTTTCTTCCAGGCTTTCCTCCAGAGCTTTCTGAGCCTCCTGGTGGTCTCTCTGCATTTCCTGGATCTTCTGCTCCAATTCTGCCCTCTGGGTATTCTGCTCATGAAGCTGATCTTTAAATGTATCCACTTGCTCCAGAGCAGCCTTCAAACGACCATGAATCTCCTGTTTTTTGAATGAGAATGAATCATTAATATGGATTAATCCACCATTTTACTGAGTGATAATCGTTTGGCAATACCTGTGATTCTTTATGATGTTTGGACAGCACATTCTGCACAGCTATAAGGGTGTCGGTCTTTGATGGAAACTTGGCATGGAGAGGTGAGGCTGACATATTTTCAGTGGTCGATTTCTCATCCTCACTGCAAACCATCTGAAAGTTAACTAAAAGAGTTTAGAATATTATAAAATAACAAAACAATGCACAGGGGAATATAATTAGTATTAACCTCATGAATTTGGTATAGAATGGTTTGAAGGGTTTGGACTTCTGTCCGGAGAAGGACCACCTCCGTCATGTCTTCTGCTCTCATCGTCTCCTAAGCAGGAAAGCATTCAAGTTGGATCAGTAACATGCATGAGGCAAGTCTGACATTCCCCAGATAGCAGCCCTCTAGACTAGGAAGTTGTGGAATTTATCAAGCCTACAGTCCAGACTAGAGCCAATTTAAGTCTGCTTTATAACCATCTATCTGCCACCTCCAACTGCTGACTCCAGGAGCCCTACCATCTCCTCCAGACTGATTTGCTTGGTGCTGAGGCTTGTGTCACTCTCACTGTTCTGTTTCTGGATGCGGTTCAAGGTGTCAGTCAGCTCCAAGATTCTAGTTACAAATGAGACACAGAGATTTAAAAAAAAACACACACACACCCAAACATTTCCTCAGACACACCAACATTTCAAAGGTCGGCATGTAATCCTCCTGTAATACCATCAAGACTATCATATTCTGCACTTGAAATCATCACAAAGACTTTTGAAGATGGTGATAACATCAAAGGCACCGTAGATCAAGGTACTGTCTCTTGTTTAAAGTGTTCAGGAGGACAAAGGACATAAAGACACATAAAAAGGTCAGCATAAGACAGTATTGGTATTTAGGAATTCAATGAGGCTGAGTTACTCTTATGATTGATTGAATTGATATTTTAGATCCAGAAATGAATCTAAAATTTGAGGTTGGTAAAATACATTTATATTGTATCTGCCTCTGGTAAATATTAATTTTATTGCGAAATGTTTACATTTCTTAGCTTGCAAAAACAATAAAAACAGTAATACAAACAAACAAATGTAAAGATCAAGCCTTGTAACATTTTTGCAAATAATGCTATTACCATATACTGTATCTCATTTTGTACCTCTACTGATTTTACCATCCACAGAGAGAATTTTTTCCAATTCCTACTCAAAAATCTTCAAATAGATTCTTATTGTTAAAGATTCTTATAGTTCAAAATTCTTATTGTTCAAAAAAATGTCCAACATTTAGCTACATTCTTCCTCAGCATTCCCTCTGCATGCTACTGCCACCACCATGCTTTATTGTTGGGCTGTTAGGTTCCGTAGGGACCAATACTTATAATTCAAGGTATAGTGGAGGATTTTCACAAATGTTCAAAAAAAGACCTGCCCTCTCCACTTAAAAAAAAAGCACATGCACAAATCTGTACTCGCTCCTGGGAGGAAATTCCTATTATATGCGTGCAAGAGCGTGCATGAGGCCGTTTCTCCTCATACATGCTCTGTTTATAAGTTGCTGTTTGCATCACTCATACAAGCTTACTTTGCAAAAGAAGATTTGCAATTTTTCCACTATGTCAGACTCACCACCAAGGGCCCATCAAGGAAAGTGGGGAAATTCTGAATGGCCACTATGTATAATATTTTTTTGTAATTGTCACCTTCATCTCTATTTGTCATTTACTACCAACCTCAAACTGCTATTAGGACATGGAATGTACGTATTTAATAAGGCTGAACCGAACTTGTTTTCGAGTCTTATCCTTTGAGCAAGCAATCTTTCTTTTTTTATTCAAGCAGTTTACCTCTTAATATTTGGAATGATGGAAAAGCCCATGACATTTCAAATAAGACCCAAAACTTTAAGTCCTTTCACATCTCTGCTGTGTCCTCTTGCCTCATGACAAACTTCAAATGAGACTTCAACAATCGCTTTTTACTTAAGAAAGCCCAGATTCATGGAGCTCCTCATTGATAGCAATCCAAAAGCTATCCTGTCTGTGTCTGCTATGTCTTGGTAGGTTTGCAGCTGTGCCATCCTTTTCACATTGATGGCTGAATGGTTCTCTGTGAGCTATTTAAAGCTTTATATATTTAATTAAAGAAAAATTTCTCACAATGTCTTCCTGATCTGTTTTCCTTTGACTTTAGGGACACACCTCCAAGGCTTTTGACAACTAATAACAACTAATTAAAACTAAATGAAGTAAAACTAAATATAATTTTTGGTAGTTAAGCCTACAAGTCAATGTATATAAAAAATTTAAAGGAGGAGCTCACACACTAGATCTATTAGAAGAAAGGCAAAAAACGTCCTAAATGATTTGGGTCGACCATTTATGATTTTGCCTGTTTTTCTAAACAAAAACAGGACATCGATTTCAAAAAGGCTTAATTTTTTCAGTAAAGTTTAAATAAGTGTTCATTAAAAGCTGTTTTTGAATAATGAATGTTTGTGGTCCTTTTTATTATGATATTGAGAAATTAGTTAAAAAAAAAAAAAAACAGCAATATTAAAAGATAAATATTTAACTAGTAAGATCACAATCTGATGATGAAAACATTTCCCTTAAAGTTGTTCTCGTGCAAAGATCACAGCAACTGCCTTCTCCTTATTGGCCCATGTTCCCTTGCAGGTTGTAAAAATCCCTCCAAGGATCTCAGACTGCACTACTGCAAGGTCGCCATGCAGCAGGCCTTTTTAAATCTAGTATAAAATTACATACAGCTAATTACTTGATGAATTTCTGAAGGTGATTAATAATTTTGATTAATATTTTTGATTTTCATTAAGAATCTGAATACCAAGTTACATTTTGGATTCAATTCACTATTATGCATCAATTTCAATTTAACTTTTACATAAAATCGGTTTAGAATAAATTAAAGTTTTGGCTTGAAATATGATGAAATGTGCAAAAACTTTGAGTATAAAAACTGACAAAACTCCACAGATACGTGGTACCTCATCACAGCCTAGGGGATGTTTCTTGGTACTGGAAGTAGAAATCCCCGTATAATGTATAGAGGAGCAAAGAAAACCTGGCGTCCTGTGGTCAGAGAACTTACAGTATGTCTAATGTATTTTTTTTTTGAGAGATCAGTCTGAGCACAAGAGACTTGGCTTCGTTTGTTTATAGAAGTTCAGATACGGGTACCTTCTTGAACAATAGGTTCAAAATCTATTTTGTGGTGTCCTGATCCAAAGATGAATGTTTGAAACAAATCCCTAAAGACTCTCAAGCAGAAACATCTAAAATCTGAAGATCACATAGTTTTTAACTGTGGCTCCAAGCTCTGGCCGGGTGATACTAAGTTTTTCTAAACTCCTTAAATTCATTTCTAACATTACATTAAAGCTTTCAGTAACCTCATCACATCTTTGCAGGAATATTTTGTTAAACTGATTGCCCGGAGGATGCAAACAGCATGTAAATTACATGATTTCACAGCAAATTCAAAAGGTCCTGAAAACTCAAACATTAGATCAGCAAACATGAACATCACATGCAAAGAGAAAATGCTGCAATCATATAAATGATGCTAACAAACAAAACATACAAAAAGAAGCAGCAAGTTGTGCGCAAGTAAGGGAAAGCTACAAACTGAGGCTGCTTAACAGAAATGCTCCAAACCACTAGGGGGAGCTGACGATAATTAACTTATATTGGACCAGATCCTTAATGAATACCTGAACAGGATTCTAAGGGAGAGTGTTTATAAAAGATTAAAATAAACCATTCCTTTCTTCCCTCCAGATGTCTCTCGGACAACATCCCATTTATGTTTTTGCTACCGGTCTGCTCCATCCATATTAAGTTCTAGTAATTTCTATGTTCGGGTACCGTATGAGTTGATGATTGACTCCCCTTAGTGTTCTGGAACACTCCTGCTGAGCTAGTTATTCAACTTTACCTACAGTTGTTTTTGCTACTTGCTGTATGTTTTATGTGTTTGCATCATTTTTGTGTTTGCAGCAGTTTCAATCTTGCTGTTCTCTATTTTCGCATCTCTTTGTAGCTTTTCTACTTTGCAGGATTTTTTTTCTTTGCCTATGTATCTTTTTTATATTAGTCTCCTTTTTGTGTTTGCAGGACCTTCTGAATTTGCTGTGAAATCATATACCGTATTTACAAAGCGTTCGTACCCCTTGGTCACAGTACTTACAGTATTAGTCCCACCCTTCCTTGGAAAGACTTATATATAATTAGCATCTATTATGGATTTAAAAAAAGAAAACAAATGAACAAAGTACAGATTACGCTTTATTATTTTGAATTTTAGAGAATATTATAATTTCTGGGATATAGATATATATAGTGTTAGTGAACACAATGTAATCTGACTGCTTTGACGTCATATGGGTAGGTAAAAAGATTTTTCCACCTTGAGTTGAGTTCAGATTTCTCTCCATCCCAGAGAACCTGGAGCTCCATGGTCTCCTTCAGCTTCTTTTTCAGCTCCATCCCAAGCGCTGATGTTTCCGACCCACAGCAACGGTTCTTTGCTGCTTCCCTGGTCTCTAAGCTCTTACATGCAACATGCAGCAGCTGACAAACAGCAGCACACTCACCTCGCATATCGGACAGAGTTCTGTAGAAAAAGTCATATGCATCAAGAAAGAAATATGGCTAAGTTTACATAAAAAAAGGCTAAATGTTATTTATGTGTTTGTGTGTGAAAAGAATGTGTCTTTACTCACTAATTTGAGTATAGGGGTTAACTTTGAACTGTAGTCAGTTCCAGCAAATGGTCTGATAAAACACAGCTACCATAATATGAACTATTATTAAAACTAAATACTTTCCAGTAAAGTTATTATAGTAGTTAAATGCCAATGAGTTTAAGAGTTCAGACTCTCCTCTGATTGATGAGTTTTACATTGAATAAGGACGCTTCTAGCCATCTGTTCCCATCAAGGAAAGAATAAGCAGGGGGAGCACTAACCCTGATGACCTGCTCCACTTTGATCCTTTGATCAGAGATGCTGTTGCAGTTGTGAGAGTCAGACAAAGTAGACCTGGGGGCTCTTCTTTTACACTAAATGGCTGGAGAGTTTCTGGCTCAGTGCTCCACTCACCTGTCAGTGAAAGTCTTTAGGTGGGTGAAAGTGCTCCGCAGAGAGGCGGCCTGGCGCCACAGTGCCCTGACGCGAGCCTGCTCACGATTCAACCGGGAGGCGTACGTCTGCAAACAACAGAACATGGTCTTGTTAAGCAAAAACTGCAGTAATTGTTGCTTACAGCAACTTCTAATTTTATTGTCATCCCTAAACACTTGCATTGTTGGAACTCCTGGACTTGCCCTGGCACATTTACAACTAACTGGAATTCCCTGAGTTTACAGATGCAGCCCATTTACAGTGCCGACGCTGGATCGTTTGGTGCAAACGATCCTCCTCCTCAACAGCTGGAATGTTTTCACAGGAAACAACAACTACAAAATGAACAGGGAATGAGAGTAAATTCAAGAAACTGGCTATGAATGGAATTCCAACCCCATATGAACTCAGCAGGATTTTAATTGCACATTTTTTCTGCACTAAGGGGTGAACTTGAACTTTCCCTTTGCCTTCTAAGCTCAAGCCTTTCATCTAAGTAGTTGTTTCCTCCCCACCTCTTGCTCTCTGCGCAGGCGATTATCAACCCACTCAGCATCTTTGCGGGCCTTCCATAAGCTCTCTGTCAGGCCCTTATTGACAGTGTCGACCTGGTCCAGTTGTTCCCGCAGCAAAGAGTTCACTTGGCTTAGCCTGGCAGTCCTGTAAACAACATGTCATACCAAATAATGAAAGAAAAAAAAACTCTCCTGAAGCTCATTCAAGTAGAATGAACTTCAAACAGCAAGGATATCACTCACAGATTTATAGTTTCAGCCATGCTTGCCAACCATGCATTTAGAGGATGAACATGTGTGGCACTTTTGCAATGTTTGTGTAGGGTTACATTCAATATCGAGCAGATCTGATGGATTACAAAATCTTTAGACAGTTCTCTCCCACCCCACCCACGCAGATATATTAAAAGCATGCCATATAGTCACTCCTATATTTATCTGTCAAACAGACGGCCAAAATACACTGGGCTTTATAGGGCTTTATAGGATGATGCAGGGTGGGGGATTAAGTTTCACTAGCGCATGTGTGTGTGAAAGATTCAAGATTTCAACCCCAACGGACACCACCTTGCAAAAGTGTCTCTTTTTGAACTTTGTTTCACCGAGTTGTGCATTAATCTAAATTTGATGGGAGACAGCAGCACAAATTAGGAGACAACTCTTTATGGTTTTCAACATTTTCTTTACAAACAACACATGGAGCAAGAATGCAGGCTGCTAAACTTAAAAACAATAGATTTTTGGGCATTTGGATTAGGATCCACTGATTGTGCTGTAATGTTTATTTCATAATAAAGCCACTGATTTGCTTTAAACTTAGATAAGTTAAAACTGCTGTACATTTAACGCATGTTCTGGAGAAAAGCAACGCAGGTATTCATCCTTCGATTCGCTGAAAATTTGTATGCAAAAGCAAGTCTGGGAAGTCAGGTTCACACAGCTGCTGGGAATATCTCTGATTCACAAATTTCAAGTATTTTAGAGTGTTTATGGCTTTTCAGCAAGGAATGCCAAAACATTAATCCTTTGTCATTAACTACAGATGAGTCATTTTTTAGAATTTAGCAGGAATTTCCTACTCATCTGTTTAAAATCTTTCTTTAAAGTCGTAGGGAAGCGGCTGTTCCAACGGTTGCATTTCCGAATTCTCCCAATTGGTGCACGATTTTACATGAGTGGATAAAGTGAATGTGATTGGTCGTTTATCAAAGGGCCGGGATTGTTGTGGCGGAAGGTTCACAAGCAAGTCTGGTTGTGGCCGGTTTGTCGGAAGGATCTTGCTAACCAGTTAGCAACTTAGTGCTAGTAGGTTCCCAATGGGAAATTCCATTGGGACCAAGTAGCACTAAATTGGTGACTTAGAAACGACACTGTAAAGGAACGCTATGGACAGCGGAAACATGCAAGAGGAGGAGAGTTTTGTGTCGGAGGTGGTGGATTAGTCTCCTCCGTCATACATTTTTTATTTAGAGGAGGAAAGCGGGGATGAAGATGTTGTGGAAGAGGACGCCAGGGCTGCAGAAGCTTGGTTTGGTGTAGAAGGCTTACAGCCGTACATGTTTGAGCCCTTGCCTCGCAACGCTGCCAGTTCTGTTAGCTCTACGCCTGCTGAAGACACAGACGTCCATCCCCGGGAACACTGGGACAGAACTCAATGGGAAAGTAAATGATTCTTATTTCTTATTCCAACCATTGCGTATATTAGCTGCGACATATGAATCAAGATGCTTTGACCTTAAAAAAATAAATTTATAGATGACCGTTGATATATGATTGGGCGAAATTAGGTGAACAAGCTGACGTAGCCTGCATAAGATAACGAGAAGAACCCCCACATATTTTAAGACAGGATTTTTTTTTTTATTGGTATTTTCTAACTTTTGGGACAATATCGTCGGATAAGAGTACATTTATATACATGTTTAAGCCAGAATGATTTGATATTTGAATATAACTTCCCTACGACTTTAAATTGAATAACTTTAGAAAGCTGATGAATAGAGAAAGTTGATGAGCTTAAACAGCCAATTTAGGGTAAAGCAACAGCATCTCAATTTGATTAAAGTTTAATCTTTTAGGGTATCAGTAAGCTCCTGTTCATTTTTTAAAAATAATCTTTTTAGTTTAAGGTTCTGCTCTGTTCCTTTATAAATGGACCCTTTAAAGCAAAATAAAAGAACATAAAGGCAGCAGAATATTCCTCTATAAACAAAGCACAGAGAGCTCTGGATAGTCTCTCTCTCTCTCTCTCACCGGCTTCGCTCCTCCTGCAGCTGAGCAGAACGTTTCTGGATAGTGAGGTGAAGATCCTGATCCTCATTCTTCTGACGCTCAGCAGAGTCCAGGTCAGCCTGCAGGTGAAAACACAAGCTTTACCGCAGATATACTGACAACATTTAGCTGCTAGGCAGCAGCTGTTTAATGACATTAATCGAAACAAAAATGTCACCATAACTGGGTATTTCATAGATCTAAATCCAGAATTATGATTGCTATTGATGAAAAGTTGATGTATGCATCAAATTATATTATTTAAGATACTTTCCATTTATGACCATTACATTTTATAGAAATCAGACTAAATTAATTTTCAATGATTGCTTTGGTCAGGGAAAACATTTATATGCTGAGGATTTTGTACTGTTTTGGTGCAAGTTGTTTTTCTTTTGTTTAATGGTAATCATGTAAAACATTTTAAATACTCTTGTCCCTCTCACAGTAGTATCTCTGATTCTCTCATGTCTCTTAAAATCCAACCTCTCAACCTAATACGCCCTCGGCTCCCTCTACACCACCCACTCTCTATGTTGGTGCCAGACACCCTGTCCTCGCTAATAGAAACCACATGGCCCTAGAGCACTACAACACCCTGCGTGCCTCCAAACTGCCCTTGCTGACTCCTCGCGTATAAAGAGAGGAAGAGATTGAAAGAGAGGGAGACCCCTCCCCTTCAAAACACTCTAAACCACCATCTAAACCTTTCAAATCAATCCTGAGACCCCACCACTATCCTCTCTTCTCTACCTCACCCCTCCTCTGGATGCTTAGTCTCTCCACCAGGCTCCAAGAGAGCCATTACAATGGTCTCACTGTTCAACACGGGACCCAACGACTTTGCCAACATTATTCTCACATTTTCATATGCCCTTTTCAGACATTTATGCTACAAATTACATTAAGTGCTATCACGCACTTGGCCCAAAGCTCTGCCGGTTTGTATGAGGACCCGGAGAGTATAAGAGCAGTGTTTACTGCTCGTCGTTGAGGTGACAGCCACGGGGAACGAGTCAGAAGGAACAACATGGGCGGCGTTTTAAATACACAGAAGTACAGCAGCTGGGGTTAAAAGGGACTCTTGGAAACAGCTGTGCGTAAGAATCCCTGATTATGCATGTTTTGGAAAAACAGTAACAGCAACACCAACTGTGGAGCAAACATGTACTTTTCACATGAACCCTGAATAGTTACACAAAGCTTAAGATTTACCATCTAATTCAACATCTGAAGCCTCAAAAAACAGACTTTGCACTACAAAGTTTTACAATAATCGAAACCTTAGTAATGAAGGGACTGAAAATACATCCATTTAGGATTGGCGTGTTGCCACAACAAAAGCAAATCAAGGTTTTATGCAGTTGAGGTTTCAAACCCCTAAAAATTCTCTGCTACTCCATTCCTGCTATTTAAGATCCCTTAGAAAAGACGTCATGTTTTGCTTTTGTTGATGGCCAAAACACAGGCAGAGTCATGCTGAGATGATTTAATAAAGAAATTTAATGCAAACTTACAACAGCAACACAGAGGAGGGGCTGGACGTCACTACAGGGTAACGACAGAAACAAGATCCAAGGGTTAAATGCTGAGCAGCTTTGATTACTGGGGTAAGGAAAAAGGTGAGGCTTAATTATCAGAATGTATTACAGCTGTGTGGGGAGCATGACCACACTGGCCTGCTAAAAAGTAACCCCCCGCCAATGGGATTGAATTGGATTTGATTCATGAACAAAACATGCCTATAGTTTTACATACATTATTGCATTACTTTGTTTATTATGAAGAACAACAAAAAAATATAAAAAAGCAGAAAACGTTTACCTGCCTGTTTATCTTTAAAGCACTGCAGTCTGGATTTAGCAGTCTGCTGCAGCTTAAAGTGTAACACACCCCATGTGAAAACCACAGCTACAGTACATAGGTAAGAGAGCTCTGACAACTCCATTGACGACAATGGCCAACATTTCAAAGAGCAATGGCAATGAACAGAGCTTGAATAGTTTTGTTTATAGATGCTGGAGATCGGCCTGTTTTTCAGTGTAGTCCTGTTTCTCTGACTGTGACTGTGACTGGTTGGATGTGCTCTCTTCATCCTCTGACATGGGAGCTGGCTTCTTTTAAGAGTAAGAATACTCATTCCATTGGCAAATCATCTTATTTACCTACTCAATTTAAGGGTAAATACACTTAATTTAAGAAATTGTTACTTATTTCTAGATTATTTTTCCAGTGTGAGGAGCAGGGCTACTTGTGGGGACAAGCAGGAGGTATGGGTAACCTCGGTAACTCACTTGCTTAGCCCAACCTAGCTTAGCCTTTCTGAAGCATTGAGGGTTGACCAGGGGCATTGGTAGCTACACTAAGGATTATTTTTATTTTTTTGTTTGTTTTTTGAGGGGACAGGATTTTTTTTTTACCCCCCAGATGCTAGTTGACGCATTGTAGAGCCCAGGGGGCGCTGACTTAGCAATGCCTGAAGCTGCTCCAGGCCTATGATGATGATTGTCTCTACCAGTCTGTGCCATTTACACCAACAGAGAAATTTAACTGCCATCTTTTTAACCAGTGAGAGAGGCACTATGACGGTTTAAGACAAATATTGCAGAACTGTACAAACTCACATGAAAAAGTGACAAAGTCAAACATTACATTACATTACAGCCACCCATGGGCCAGGTTTACTCAGTGTATTTGCCAATAAAGTAAGTTTCAAAAATTATCTGTTTTACAACCATTTCAATAATCTTTTCCTTGACTTGGACAATTTTTCCGTTTCGCCAGCACTGTAACAATCCCCCACAGTTACATGCTGTAAACACCACGTTTCACTATGGGGGTGTCATGGGGTGGGGGGATGTGAAGGGGTTTGCACCCAATTAGCGTTATCCTCATTTTACCAGAGCGCCTTCCTCCATACATTGGGGAGTCGCCCAAACGCCTTTTGGTAAATTCAAAACATGCCTTTCTTATTTCAAACACCCAGTAATGGCTTTTTTTTTTTTGCCGCTCTTTAATGAAGCCCAGCTCTGAGGAGTGTATAGACTATTGTGGTATATATTCAATCTCCTTACCCTATGAGTTCTGGTAGGCACCCTTCTTGTTAGTTTTGTTGTGGTACTGTGTGCTTTTCATTTGAAGATGACGGATTGGAGACAATCCAAGGGAGCTTTAAAGGTTTGGATATATTTCTATAATCACAACCTGCCTCGTACTTGAAGAGCTTCTTGGTGACCATGGGGGGATTCAATGAACCAGAAACAATCTAAACAGTCCACTGGGATCAAGAACACTAACTGAACAGAGGAAACACCATAAGCAGGACCGAAATCTAGTAAACACTGACAATATGTAAGCTGAACGACGTATGGAAATATGAGAGGCTTAAAAAACAAATGACAGATTTATTGAGGCATACTGCCTCTATAGCAATTGTTGCTGCTCTGCTGGTTGGCTTTGCTCCACTTTCCTTTTCTTACATGCAATTGACTGCTTGAATTTTTTTAATGGAGGAAAAACATGACTAGTCAACTAAAGGAGCAGCACTCATTACTCTCATTAAGTACAAAAAATAAAAAATAACAATTACTTCATCTAGCAAGCATCATTTCCGTTAAGCGGTTGCTGTTGCTACCTGACTGGATAGTCTGACTACCAGGTATTAAACCCTTTTTCCATTTTATACTCTAACAAGGTCGCTACAAATAAATACATTTAACATTACTCCATGTCAGAGAAGCTGGTTAAAACATTATGATATACCTAAATCAGAAAAGGCGTATGAGCAATGTAAGGCCTTGCTGTATATTACTTTAGGCAAAGAGTTTTTATTGATTTTGCTTTAAAAAACACACATCTTTTTATCATTTTGTTCTTTTAAATCTTTGTTGAATCATGATGAAACGGTATAATACCATACGACCCTGGCTTTTTCACTCTTGGTTACAATGAAAAACTACAAAAAGGTAAAGAAAATTCAAAAATGAGTGATTTTCTCTTAATTGCAGCTGGTAAATAAGGTGATCTGCCAATAGAATGAGAATGTTTGACCCTAAAATAAGGTACTATTAACTTTAAAACAAGAAATTTACATTTAAAATTTAAATAATCTCATGAACTCTCTACCTTCTCAAAGAAGTGAAAATACACTGACAAAAAAGAATTGACTTCTTTCAGTGTATCATACTGTGAGCATCTCATACTGACCCACACCTAATAAAACCATTCCATTGCAATTGAACACTATTTATTCATTACCAAAATGCTAAAAAATATAAGCATGTTTTTCTTGGAGTAGCAAAAAAACCTGAGGAAAGTGAAGCATCTGCAGGACGGGGACATTTTAAATCTTAATGAATAGAAGTGTAGCATGAAAGAAAAATGCAATTTAACAAATTTTTTTTTTTTAACAGACCTACAGTAGAGTCAAAATCGACATGTTACAAGATGAAACATTACAAAATAACCTTAATATTTTTTATTCCTTGTACTTTTCAGCCTGGACGCCTAAAAATTTCAACGGATGCTAAAGCGGGTGTGGGTCATGCAGTGCATATTGTCAGGAGATTTTTTAAAATATAGAGCATAAAGAAAGTTTTGTGCACTCGGTGACCAGGTATCCTCGGCAACTCATAAAGGTCTCCACCCAAACTTAATGTGGAGGGTTGTTTGTCCTTTTTTCATGCACAGCAGCACCAGCGTGTGAGCTTCTTGCCAGAGCCTCGCCCCAATTCCACACACCACAGAGATGACGCTTTTTTATGGTTTCTCCCCCCTCAGCAGTAAAGCGTGAGGCCTGGGCTGCTGCGGATTAGCCCCGCTCTGTGCAGGGAGCTCCCAAGGGGGGCGCCCAAACAATCTCCCTTGGAGACCATCTTTTCACTTGATTGTCTTGCATCACAAAATCACATCACTACATGAGTGTGATCTCACTGTTTCTCACAACAAACAGATGAAATGACAACTGTAAAAGCAAAAGAGAGAAACCAATAATCTTAGCTTTCCATCTGCCTTGACTCAGGGGGGCTTACATGGCTTAGTGGGGGCCCAGAAGTGTGCTTACTGAGCCCTAAGCTATTTATGATCCGCTTCGGGGTAGAATTAGTCTTCGGCAGCCTCTATGGCTCCCAAAGTTAGCTGAGCCCAATCCCATGAGGTCACCAAGTGCCATTCTGCAATAATGTTCAAAACACAATTCATACAGAAACAGCCCTTGTGTCATGGCAGGTTTTATGTCCCCATATGTTAGCTATGGCTCCTTTTATTCTTTCATACTCATGCATCAGTTTCTTGAGTGCAAGGGACTTTAGGCCGTTAAAATGTGGTTTGTATTAGGTTTTTATACGTCTTGATATTTATGATTTGTGCCACTCCTTGTATTGTCTCTTTTGATAAATATTTCAAACAACATCAAGGGATAATCTTGCTTTGATTTAGCTGCCAACAAGCAACAAGATAATCATTTTAAAGGCCCTTATGAAAGCTTTGGTGCTTGGGCCAAAACGTTCTGCCCTACCGACAAGGAAGATAGGAGAGAATAAAAAGAATCCATCCAATTATGAGGATCTGGAGAGCTTTTCTAATTTTCTCCTGTCCTCACCGAAAACAAATGGACATTTTTTACTGATTCTTCCGTTCAAAAACTCATCAACAACCTCAGTTCTCTTTCTTTCCATCTCCAAGGGTGACATCTGGCCAGGCTTGCGGTCGGCATGTGAAGGGTTACAGCTGCAGCGGTTTGCTCTGGCTTGGCCTCAGCCCAGAGGCTTAATAAAGGGAATTAATGGAGTGCACTATCTGTCAGATTCCTAAACACAGCTGGAGCGGATGTTCATCGCCCCTAAGCAGCCAAAAGCGCTTACTATCCTACTTGAACAACATACCCCTCCTCCTCCCAACATGTTGTCCCCGGTGTGCTGACTCCGTAAAAGAGCCCCAGCTGATTGTGAAAGCTGTTTATGTATCATCACTGACTGTAATTACACAATATGGGACAATAAACAGAGAGAGTGGAATGAAAAACGGGGGGGAACTGCTATGAGCATGTTAAGAAACGGTAAACTTTTTTTGTTTGTGCTTAGGAACATGATGAATAAGTCATACAATGAAGTATATAAAACATGACAAGCTGTACACAAACATGTATGCATCCACTCAAGACTTTATATGTTTTTTGATGTGTTTAACTAACTAAACATTATACTAAGTGCTATGCTTTAAAATCAGGTAATGTAAAATGTTTTAGCTGACTGCTTTTTTTTTAAACAAATTGAGTATTCACTAAAGCTGTAAAGCCTTCTCTCAGAGGAAAAAGTTATTCATTTTTAGAGTGTCCATTAACTGTCAGATGTTTTGGACCCGTTCCAGTTAAGCTGCAGCGTAAATGAACCGGAGTGATTAAGAAAACATGTGGAAATAGACAGTAGAAGCATGATAAAAGGGAACGGAAAAGCTCATAGGCCTGACTTTATGTAATCCAACTGTGTTTGACAGGGCTCCTATGAAGAGAAAATTGGGTAAAAAGATTGAAGAGCGCCTTGGCAAATGGCAATCGGTGACCCCTATATTGACCCTAATACTGCAGTATTTTGCAGGCAGCTGCTAAGTGTCCAGGCAGTAGGGTATGAGCGTCTATGTATGAGAAAACCCACTCTGGCAGTCTTCCAAAAGCAACACGTAGGGTACAGAAACATCAGGCGACGCAACACACAAACTAGGTCAAAGTTTATCCTGGTTCAGCAGCAATTTTCTGGGGTCACCAGGTTTCGCAAAGAGTGACTTACCAGGCCAACTGGAATGCTTTCAGAGCTCAGGTTTGAGCTTATAGCAGTATTGTGGTAATAGTCCTCTGACAGCTCAAAGATTAGGAAAAAGCAGGGATTTGGTATGATATATGTCTCTCAATGGTAGATCGTTCTCTGCCAACACCGTCCTTCAAAACTCACCGTTTTCCTTAGAATAACATGTGTCATATTTTCATTTATTTTCAGTTTTTTTCAACAAAAAAACAGGGGAAATTATGTTTCTTTAGCATTTTCGTGTAGTTGAATGTGAATCTACGGATCTTTTACGATGCCTTACTAAAATTATGAGTACATTTTCTTAAAATTGGAATTTTATGTGAAGGATAAACATAGATTGGTGCATTATTAAGAAGTTTGGGGCAAATTATGCAAAATCTTCAAGTCCTTTGATCAATAAGGTCTGATAAATGTTTGACATGCCATTGTATTCCGACCATTACTCAGACACCCTAAATAAAATCAAATGTAACCTACTACCTTAAAGCTACAGTGTGTAATTTTTAGCGACATCTAATGTCCAGACTGCAGACCGCAGCAACATGAACAGCTCCCCCCCACCGCTTCTCCCCCCCAACAGTACAGCGAGCGTTATGGGACAAAATGTCTTCCACGACGTCCGCATCACCTACCTTCTCAAGTGATGAGGTTTGTTTACATAGATAATTTTACAGATAGTATTCTCAGGCATAATACTGCCATCTATTGTTCAGTACCGTCTCAGTTCATCTCTCTCAACTTGCCGTAGTTACTTTCGAGCGTAATGGGCGATCTCGCAATCGCTAGTTTGTTGGCTCTGCGCTGCCGTAGCGCAAAGATGTCAGCCTCCATGGCTGCGAGACCCGCTCCTATGTAATTATAAATAACGAATTCTAAGGCAACGCAAATATTAAGGTTAAGAGGCTGAGCTCGTAGATGATGATAAATAACATAGTTATGTATAATATATTACATTTCTGACTGTATATCCCTGTAATTATTACACACTGTAGCTTTAACAAGCGTTCTAAATAGTAAACAAGGTCATCCTGTTTTATTTAATCCAGCTGTTAGTAGAATGCCTCAGAGTAGGGATTTGTTAGTAAAATGTGTTTGCAATGTAATTGCAATTTTACAAAATGTTATTTTCAAATTGCAGAGGCACTACATTTTTTGTCACATTACATTTTCTAGAGTAAGACACTGACTTTTTCATGCCAGCGGTTTAGGTGGCTGTAACACAGATGGGAAGAGAGCGTTGTAGCTAGTTCTTGGATCCATGCATGCGAGTAGAATTAAACACCTTTCCACACAAAAGTAACGGTAAAGTCGTGCACCAATGAACTCAAGCTTTTAAGATCAACATCTGCACCACTACTACTTCAAATAATTGATGCAGTTCTTCTGTTAAACACGAGGATCATGCCAAACAGAGGGGTTTTTTTTACATAAAAGCAGGACTGCAACAAATATGCAGTAAAATTGTGAAAATAATGCACTGGTCAAGACAGCACTGTAAGACATCCATGTTTAAGGTTAACGAGCAAAAGAAAAAAGAAGCAATTCTAGGGTGAGTTGGCCTTTTACGATGTTCCTCATGTTATGTATAAAAAACATTTAAACATAACAAAAAAGCCCAAACAATGGGCAGTGAGTCCATTTGTAACCCTCTACTTTGTGTGTTGGCCATTGCTATACAGAACACTAAAATCTGCAGCAACATTTAAACCCGGAGATGCTCTTATTGCACTGGATATTGCAGGGTAGCATAGAATCATGAATATTTTGAACTTTAAGGGGTAAATTATGCAGAAAAAACTTTAGTATATGTAGAATATTAACTATTTTGGGTGTTTCTCATATAAGCCCAAAAAACAGCAAAATGAACAAAGAAAACTTAAAATAAAGGGTAATAAATAAACATTGTCAAAGTCAAGGAAGCAGGTTTGACACTTTGGCATGGACTCTCCAATATCATCACCAAAATGCACATTTTGAAATATAACCATATTTCATTCTGAGACAAAAAGAAAATAAGAACTGATTTATATCAATGTGAAGTACTTCTCAGGGTTCTATAGAACTTCCTATGTACTACATGTTAATAGGCACAAAGTAAGGGAGCACTCAGGTTCTCTGGGGAAGAAGTTGGTGTTTTTCCATTGATAAGCTGAATGAAGGAGCGTTTATTAAGAGCTGTGAGTCGCTACTTGTTCTTGGATGTCAGAAAACTTTGCAGACACTAAATCAGATTGACAATTTAGCTTCATCAACAAACATAAAACACTTGGTTTTCTTTTTTTATGTAGTGTTGTTTTAACCATCTATAAATACCAACAATAAAGATGTACAGATTTAGATCTACCAATTGCAGCAACAGAATGAGGGTAGTGTTGTCACAAAATAGGGGCTTATTCCCAAAGAAAAATGTTCTTTTTTTAACTCAAGGCTCTCCAGGGAAAAGGCAAGCGACCTTCATAATTTGCTTCCTAAACAGTCACGACTACATGAAGCAGCGACCTTTGGAGGCAATGAACGGAGACGCTGAAAGTCAGGAATAAGGGGGGGTCGGAGTCTACCTGAGCAGACCACAAGGAGACCCTTCATAACCCACCTCTCTTACTTGTACCAACAAACACATGTATGATGACCTGATGATGACGATGACATACTGTCAACACACAAGTAGTATCTCTACCACAACAAAAAGATGGAATACATTTTTGAAATGTCCTCATTTGCATACATTTTTGATTCTGTTCTGACTGAATTACTTCTTAAAACTTCTTACTGATACCAACAAACTACCTTTAATCTTTTTTTATATTTGCTTATTTAGTTAAAAAAAGACTGTCCCTGTTGGAGAGAGATGCTGATGTTTGCTGTTATCGTATTTTTTTCCAAATGCGTTAATCTCATCTCTATCAGGACACATGGACAAGTACCATAAAGTTAACAATATTTCTGAAAGCAGACCTAAATGTGTAATATATATATATATATATATATATATATATATATATATATATATATATATATATATATATATATATATATATATATAATATATATATTTTTTTATTTTTTTTTTTTTTATTACTTTTTTTTATTTATATATGGAGCAACATTTAGCCAAAACAAGCACGGGTACAATAAACATTAAAAATGCAAATAACATTCCATGATTTAACCTTGGCATAAAAAACCTTGCTGCCCCACAGAATGTTGCTCCTACCCTCTCTGTGAGACTGGTTTGTTTGACCAGCGGCTGATCGCCGTCCTTCTGGCTGGGAGAAGAATGCTCCCTCAGGGCACCGCTTCCCTCCAGCTTGCTAACCTCTAGGCTCTCACCTGGGTTTGAGAAACAGATGAGGAATACAGAGGTGTCAGTCTTTGCATGTGATCATGCTTGATACAGTAGTAGTCAGTGCTTTTGTCTAGGAAATGAGGAGCAGAGCTTTCGTTCCTACCAGCTGGCTGCTCGGTTAGGTTGCGAGTGATGATCTGACAAATTCGAGTGGAGATGGGAAGGAGAGTAGCTCTGGATCCTTCTTCATCGCCTTGAAGTGTCAGGCTAACCACGCCTGAGCTGCCATCTGAGTGAAGCAGAGTCTCCTCCAACCTCTACAATCACACCGTGTAACATATCGCTTTAATGAACGTGAAAAGTCAATTCATTGCAGTTATGCTGGTTAGCAGAGCTGTTGCATGTAAGGATTATTCTAAAACACAGAGCAGTACTTACAGGCAAGTGCTAAACTTAAAGGAAATATAAGGCTGCGCACTAAAGCCTAAACTTTTTTACATTACAATGTCTGATAAATGATTTCCTGTTAAAAGAGGAGTTTGTTTCTGAAAAGGAATTAGACAGGAATCTCATAAAGCATAATAAATGTTCTACAACTAAGACGAAAATAAAAGATGTTAATTTAAGAGAGACTTTGTAACCTCTTTTAAGTAATTAATGCCTTAATGTTATCACAGCAGTCAAGGCCTTGTTTTAGTTGTTCATCTTCGCTTTTAGAATCATTCCTCTGGTAATCTGAGGTTTCATCTGCTAAGATCCAAGTCTTGAAAGGTTGGAAGGCCGCCTCACCATGGTCCTGATTTTTAGTTTTGATAAGGATGGAGCCATGGATGTCTCCTCATCTGCAAACGTGTATGATGTAAAATATGATGATGCGGCAGACGGGAGTTGTATAAAATACTTATTTAATTGTTAATCATGGCCACTCCCCAAGAGGTGAGCCTGGTTGATAAGCAGCAGCCATTCTGTATCCCTAAACAACTTCTCTGATCGGAGTAAGACTATAATTTCTATCAAAATCTTTTGTCATGTCTCCTGGTTATTTAATACATAGAAGTTATGAAGTGTTATTTAAAGTTTGTTCTGAGTTCAGTGAGCTTTCGGTTCTCAGGCCACCAGAAAGTATGCCACAAAATATTGTCTTTTTTTTTTTTTTTACTTCTGAGAAAATGTGTTGTCCCACATGGACATGCATGGAATACCCAAAACCTTAACCTTAAAGATTCAACATTGAAATGGGAAAATGTGATTCCTCTAGCTCTTAAAGATAAACTACTGGGGAAAACATCAGTTCTGACATGCAAAAGGCAGCTAATATTAAGGTGTAATAAACTCACACATCATCAATGATAATTATATATATATATATATATATATATA